CAGGGGTCCCCGAGGCGGCGGAGGCGGGGCGGCGGGGGTCCCGTCGGGGGCGGCCCGCCTCCCGGGGCAGTAGGAGCTCACATGCAGGATGCAGCTCACCGCACATCAACTCTTACTGTTCGGGGGGGCGGGCGCCGAGCGGCTCCTCCTCGGGCAGCGGGAACGATGGGGACCCCCTCCTCGGATCCTCCATCCTGGCCCCCGCCCCGCAGCCCCTCACCTGCCCTCCCGGCGGGGACCTGGAGCCCCTGGGGGACCGTCCCCGCCGGGCTCGTCCCGCCGCATCTGTCCGCTCGGCAGTCGGGGTCCCGTCCCCCCGTGCCGTGCTCCCCTCCGGGGACACCGAGGGCCGTTCGCGGAGCGGGGCTGGCGGCGGGGCCGGCGCGGCGGGGACTGAGCGCGGCCCGCGGGGCCGGGGCGGGGGCGGCCGGGGGCGGTCGCAGGTTGCACAACCCGCCCGGCGCGGCCAGGAGATTCCTGAGCGGCGAAGTCAGAGCGGCCCGGCCTGCCCCGGCACCGGGCACCGGGCCTTCGGCAGCCGGCGGCGACCGGTGCTGGCCGGGCAGGGCTGCTCGTGGGGGGCACCGGGGACTCACAGCCCTGGAGAGAGGGCTGGAAGGGCTGTAGTGACCACACAGATCCCGGAGGGGTGGGAGGTACCTGATCCCATGAGGACACCGAGGATGTAGGGTCAGGCCCAAGTGAGTGAGGCAAGAAGAAGAGGGAAGAGTCCCTGAACAAGAACCTTCGGTCCTGGGATCCCGCAGGACAGGGGTCCTGTGGGTGTCCGACCTAGACCGAGTAGGGGTCACAGAGGGTCCCCTGCCCACACTCTCCAAAGCAGCCCCATTAGGATCCCTCACCCATCCATAGGGTCATGCACCTGGCAGCTCTGCCCTCACCCACCAGCTCCCCAGAGGTCAGCAGGGCCACAGTGGGACACGGGAGCCACGGGTAGGGGAGGATCAGAGGTAGCAGGTCCCCACTGTGCCCTGTCATGTCTCTACCTTGTTCTCTTTGACTCTTGCTTTTCCCATTGCTGCTTTTGGTGAAGGGTCAAGCACCTCACACCTCCAGGATGGGAGTTTTCAGGTAAAACCACAGCTGTGTCCAGCACATCCATGCTGCAAAGTTGTCACTGCCACAAAACCCACCCTCCACATCCTGGGAAACATTTCCTTGTTTGCACCCCATCGCCAGCATCGCAGTGAGGTCCAGGCCATGGTGACATCAGTGTCCCTTCCAGGGTACCCCTGGGTGAGGGGACATGCCCCATGGGAAGCACTGTGGCCCCTTGGACCCCACGCTCCAGCCTGGGAACGTTTCAGCTGCACTGTTGTTTTGAACGCCAAGTCTCTCCCGCTGACACCCTGGAATCAGTTTTTCTTCCAGAGTCCTTAAAAATATCCTGGATTCCTGACACTGGGACTTGTCTTCCAACGGCGCTTCCAAGCCACTGGGCCTGGGGCCAGCCGTCAGCGCCGGGGGACAGAGCCCGTCCAGCTCCTGTGCTCCTCCTCAGCGTGGAGATCGCGGCGGTGCTGGGAAGGAATGTGGTGGCAAGGAGGATCACAGCCCCTGCCACGGCCTCTTCCATGGTGGAATGGTGCTCAGCGGGGCACAGGCACAGCACAAACACTGCCCTACCTCGGCAATGCACCCAGTGGCTGCAGAGCGTGTCCCTGTGCACGGCCAGGAGGGTGGGAAGGGTCTTCCTGGGACTTCCAAGCCATGACCCTACAGAGTCCGGTGGCTGAGGACCGGGGTGGAGCCCCCCACTGCCTGCAGCGAAGGTCCCAAGGGACTCTCCCAGACGGGATTTCCCTGTGCATCCCTGGGAGAGCACGTGGCCCCAGAAAACTTGTAGACAAAACCTGTCACCCGCTCCTGGCTTTGCCAAGTGGCATCTTGGCACTGTAGGAATTTAAGGTGGGCCCGGGGGGGCTGAGCCAGCACAGCTGGTGGGGGCTGCAGGGAGAGGTGCTGCTGTTGCCCCCCCAAAGACCGGGCAGGTGCCCACTGGCCCCACACGCTGTTGCTGCCATCTGACAGCTCTTGGCGAAACGGCCTTTTGTGATTCAGCCGTGTTTATCCCAGCCTGCAGCCCGGCCCAGCGTGGGTTTCCATGGAAAACTTCCATCCAAAACAAGGAGAGAGAAGGAGCTACAGCAGGAGTGACTCAGCCACAACTGGAAGCTTCTGCGAGTGAAGCAGGGAAGGGGGGGCTGTTCCCAAAGGTTTGGTTCTGCTCCAGCAGCGGGACCCAGGGATGGTCCCGGCTGTCCCGTGCCCGTGCCACGGCCATTTCACAGGCAGGAGCTTGGCAGGTTTGGGGAAAGCCTCGCTGTAAAACCACCTGAAAAACATGTCACCCTCCCCACGTGTGTGCCCCCTCCCCACCTCTGGCAGGTCCTGGTGGCAGGGACAGAGGAGGAAGAGCGTGAGATGAGTAAGGCTCAAACCCTGATGCCAGGCTTGGCGGGGCATCGCTTTTTCCAGCGCTGTCCACAGGAACCCCTACCCGTGCCTGGCGTGGCCCAAGTGGGTGGCTGGCAGGGTGGGCAGTGGCAGTGACCTCGAGGTGGCAGTGGCACAGGGGGAAGGGGTGCGGGAAGCTGGGGAGATGTGAGAAACCAGCCGGGAGCTTGCAGGGAACAGGCAGCACTGGCAGCATCTCTGCTCATGTCGGGCTCTTCCTGCCCTCCCTAGGACACTGGGAGAGGGCTGGGGGCTCTGCTCACCCAGGGAAGGGGCAGCAAAACTCTGCCTGGCCGAGCTCTGGGCTCCATGCTCACAGCAGGCTCCTCATAAGCAGGGCCACAGCCAGGGTCCTTCCTGTCCCTGAGGTCACACAGGTGGCTCCAATGGCTGCATTGGGGTATGGAAGGGCACATCTGGGCACAGGGGTGACATCCTCCCTGCCAAAACACCAAGGCTCCCAGTGCTGCTGGTAACACTGGTGATTGTCCCCAGGGCCCTCTTGTCCCAGGCAAGTGGCACAGCTCCCACCCAGATCCTGGGCTCACTCCATCACCCCCCTGTTCAGCAACAGCAACCAGCCCACGCTGTTCTGGGGGAAAAACCAACTCTCCTGGGCCACACTGCGTGATGGAAAAGGGAACTCCCCAGCATGAAGCTGAGGGAGGGGTGGGAGGACGTCAGCCAGTCTTGTCTCCAGGCTCACCTGGAGCAGCGAAGGAGTGTGGCTGCATCCCAAGAACAAACCTGGATCTGCGAGAGAGGCAGGGGCCAGCCCGAGGGCATGTCGCCAGGGAACAGGAGGGAGAGGGCAGGATTCCCATGGCAAACCCTCCATCCGCTGTGGACACGCCGTGACAGCCGCGGGAGCCGCTTCCCTCCTCCCACCAGCCCGCGACCAAGCAGGACCTCCCTCCGCTGCTCACACTGGCACCTCCTGCGGACAAAGGTCGCGTTTATCTGTTTTTATTAATTCATTTAAACCAGTACAGCAGATACCCGTCAGGAACCACCTTTATGCAGACCCCGGGAAAGGAGCAGGTACTGCAGCACCCCAATTCAGGTCACCCATCCCTCCCGACCCACTCGAGGGAGCTGCCTGCAGAGCTGGGATCGTGCTGCTCACTCACCGCACCCTGGGCTTCTTCCCCTTCCTTCCCTCTTCCCGGGAGCTGCCGGGGCCGGGGCTGCGGGGCCGCAGTGCGGGCGGGCGGCCATGGCTGCGGTGCCTCCCCCGCGCCGGGCAAGCGGGAGCTCGGCGATCAAGCGGCTGCCGGGGGCTGGCGAGCGCGGCCGCTGCTGTCCCTGCCCGGCGGCGCAGGGACAAAAGCTCGGCTGCGTTGTCACAGCTGCTCGCCGTGCTCGGCCACAGCTGCAGCCGGGCGTGCAGCCCCCCAAAAAAACCAGCCCCTGGTGTCCCCGATGTGGTCACCAAGGGGGGCAGACACCCCACGCCTTCGCAGCAGATGTGACACAGCCCACGTGAAGTGGCACAGACGGCCAGCACTGCCCGAGCCCCCCCCAGCCCCGCGGGGCAACAGCAGAACAGGGCTGGGCTGCAGGGAAACAGCCACATCCTCCTGCCACCATCACCATCTGCAAACCAGGGGGAAAAACGTGAGGGGCTGAGAACTGCTCACTCCTCCCGTTTAACCTGCTGGTTAACTCCTGCTGGTTTAACCCATGGCAGCTCCCAGGCCTGCTCCCAGCCGAGGGGAGGGGAAGGGCTTCAGCAGCACAGTGTCCTCCACCCCTCACAGAGCTGCCCCGCTGCTCAAGCAGGGGGAGAAATCACATTTTTCACCCAATTTCCCTCTTTTACCAACTCTACACCCCCAAGAAAAGCCGTGGTTAGAGAAGCTCTGCTAGCACTCCTCTCCTGAGACTGGTGCCCAGTGCTGAGCTGGGCAGAACACCTGCAACTGTTAGAGCAATAAAGATTTTCGTGTGCTTCTGGATAATGCAGAGCCACAAACAACGACAAGTTTTTCTTGTTCATGGAGGCACTTTGTGGAGGGAAGATTCAATATATGCTGAGCCAGCAGCCATTTCATTTCTGAAACAAACACCAGCCCTGGCACTACCAAGGATGAGAGGGTTTCCAGGCCCAGAGCAGCTGGAAGCTTGGCTTAATAGATATCAAAAACCACGAGTCTTTGGGGTGTAAAACTGCAGCTCTGTGCTTTGCACACACTTCCTGTGGCTGAGCTGACGGACTCTCACTATGAGCAGGTGTTTGAGTCTGTAAAAGCACCTTGCACACAGAGCAGTGTCACCCTCCTGCCCTCAATCTCCTCATTATCACACCCCCACACTCACATGTTACATCATATACATAATATATAACTTTATATACATTTATATGTATATACTTTATCCTAATGTATACAAACAAATCTGAAAAAAGGGAGATAAAGAATCATTCAGCCTGGCCTGGGTGAACACTGGAGAGCAGAACGTGCAGTGAGCTGTTCTCTGGTCCCTCTGGAGGCATGGCAACAGTGATGTTTCACAGAACGGGAGGCTGCATGGGGCTCACCAGAGCCTTTTTTTATTACAGACCCCGTTCTCAAACCTCCTCAGCCCCTGGGCGCTCGGCCTGGCCCTGCCCGGGGCAGAAGCGTTCCAAGAATTCCAGGTAGGCTTTCTTCTGCGCCGGGGCCGCGGGGATGAAGTGCCCGCCGGGGTGCGTGAGGACAACGGGCTCCACGAAGCACTGGGCCAGCTCCCTGCTGAGGGGCGCTGCGATGACCGCGTCGGTGTCGCCCACGACGTGCAGCGTGGGCAGGGCGATGGGATCCCGGTAGAAGTGTCCGTGTGCCGGGGCGCGGCTGGCGAACGCGGCCACCAGCACGGCGAAGGCCACCGGGAAGCGCGGGTCGCCGCGGGCCCGCAGGGCGCACACCATGGCGGCCAGCGCCGCGCCCTGGCTGAAGCCCAGTAGCCCGTCGAAGGGCCCGTGCTCCGCCAGCGCCGCCGCAACGGTCGAGAGAGACTCCTCCAGCCCCGCCGGTGCCGCAGCCGCCTCGCCCGCCTCGAACGTGCCGGGCCCGGAGAACCACCAGCCGCGGGGGGGATCGTCCCCGTCGGGGTCGTCCTCAGCGCCGGCGGGCAAGCGGTGCGGCGCGTCGATGGCCACCAGCTCGGCGCGGCCGCGCAGGGCCTTGCGGAGCGCGCCGGTGCGCTGGCGGAGGCGGCGGGCGCTCTGCCGGTAACCGTGCAGCGCCAGCAGCCGCAGCGGCCGCGTCTCCGCCATGGCCGCGCCCCGGCAGCGCCACTTCCGCCTTCCCGCCGAAACGCCGCGCGCTGATTGGCCGGGGAGAAGAGAGCGAGCGGCGCGCCTTCGCGGAGGTGACGCGCGCCCCCTGGCGGTGGGAGGTCGCCATGGGGGGGTGAGGATGGGGCAGCCCCGATGGGACGGGACGGGAGCCCCCGTGCGATGGCGGCGGCGGCAGCACGGCCTGGCCTTGCGAGGAGCAACGCCCGGCGCACAGCCGGGGTCGGTCCTTGCGGGCACTGGTGTCGCCGAGTTACGGGGTAAGACTCCATCCATTCCAGCGATGGTAGAGGGGGGGTCCCGGTGGTGCTTACCCCGCGGGGAGGGATCAGCGGTGCCCCCGCCGCTGCCCACGCCAGGTCCCAGAGCGCGGCAGCTGCGGGTGACACTCAGGAGGCTGCGGGGCCCCCGGAGCTTGGCTGCTCCTCACCCTCGGGCGGGGCGGGGGGCGCGGGTGGCTTCCCCTGCAGGGAGAGGGAGAGTCAGGGATGTCCCAGCCCCAGCCGGAGCTGCGATGAGCCAGCCCGTGCCCAGCCCGCAGCACCCTGTGGGGCACTGCGGCTGAACCCCTCCTTTCCCCGGGAGCCGCGGGGCTCGGCAGGCGCTCAGCCCGACCAGGGCTGGGGGGACCCGCGTGTCCCTCCCCCGGGCCGGGCTGGCACTGTCCCCGTTACTGTTCGATGGCAGCGACACCACGGGGTGGCGCTTTGGGTACGCGGCACCGGGCACCGAGCGGCACCGGGCGCTCAGCCCGTGCCGGGGCTCTCACCGGCCCGAGGGATGGAGCGGGGACTCGGTGACCCCTCGCTGCCCACCTGTGCCGGCCGCCCGCGGCGGGGGGGCTGTGTGCCACCGTGGTTCACTGTCCACGGCCCCAGGGACTGGCTGGCGTAGAAGTCCATGGGATAAGGCTGCTGCCACTCGATGTCCTGGAGAGCCACTGCAGCCTGCAGAGAGGACATGGGATGAGTCTCTGAGTGGTGCCCACAGAGGGGGTGCTGGTGGTGCTGGGAGAGGTCCCAGCATCCAGCTTGGTGTGCCGGAGAGGGAATTGCCGGGGCAAAGCTCGAGGCACTGGGAATCCCACTGGTTTCACAAAAGATTGGATATCCCAGCAGCATGCCTGGACTGTGCACAGAGCACAGATAGAGGAGGGGACACTGTCTGGGTGCAGGGACATCCCCAAGCCTGCTCTCGTGCATCACCCTAAGCCAGAATTGTCCCCCCAAAATGGAGATGGGTGCTCACCTCATAGGGTGTCAGCAGTGGCTTGCTGAAGGCTTCTCCCCAGTCAATGGAGAGCCGAGGACAGGCTACCTGCACCCACCTGGAAGGGAAATGTCACAGTGGGGATGTGCATTTTGGGAAGAATAAGCCACAGTGACGCTCCTCAGCAGAACCCCACAGGGTCCCTCCTGTGCCAGTGCCACCCTGGTAAGGACAGCCACGTCCCTTCCCTGCACAGTGACAGCTGGACAGATGTGTCAGGGACAGCTTCAAGTGAGAACTGAATGGGCAATTCAGGAATGGGGCACCCGGGGGCTGGAGGGGGGTCAGCAGCACTCACACATCCACCTCTGGGAAGAGCTTTAACTTGCTGGGGAAGATCTCAGACAGCAGCACCCGCACATAGGGCCGGCCCAGGGCACGGAGACGCAACTCCAGGTGCTGCGGGGGAAAAAGGCACCTGGCAGGGTTAGGGTCCCCCAGCAAGCCCCCCCAGGCCCTGCTCACAGCCCCTTCCTGGCCATCAGACTCTGTGTGGGTCCCAGCTGTGCCCCACAGCCGTGTTCCCTTGGCAGGCATAGGCCAGACTGCGGCCATGGCTCCGGCTTGCGCCCAGCTCTCCCCAGCACGTGCCTCAGCCTAATGAAGTAATTACTGCTCAATGACAACAATCTGTTCTCGTTAGCGGCTGCCTGCCCTGGGACACCCGCCTGTCATGGGCTGGCTGCAGCCAGAGCTTTCAGGAGGAGGAGAGGGGCCAGAGATGTCCTTGTCCTCCAGAGCCAGCACTAATCACCCCCTGCCCAGCCAGCCCCAGCCATGCCCGTGTCCCGCCTGCAGTGGAAGAGCAGCTGCTGGGACCTTGCTGCCCTGCTCTGCCCACCGGTCCCTGCACTATCTCACCTGTGGCTACCCCAGAATTTCTGTGTGTGGGCAGGGCCACCATGCTTAGAGGGCAGAACTCTGCTGTCCTGCTCCCCTCACCCAGCTGGGGTGCAGAAAGTGCCAGCACGGCAGCTGAGCAGGGATGCTGAACCTGATCGGAAGTTCATCCAATTAAAACAAACCCAGCCAATTAATTGCCGAGCTGTCTGGGCGGGGGGGTTTCTCCAAGACCGGCCAGCTCTCCCCAGGAACGAGTTTAATGAGCCCTTGTCCAGCCTCCCTCATCTGCTGTTAATTTCCCACATAGACTGGGGCCAGTGGCCACTGATGGGTTGCCAGTGGTGCCACATCCACCCTTACCCTGGCCGTGAGGACAGTGACAGTGCCATCGCTCACCAGTCCTTCCCCCCACCCAAAAGCAGTGCCTGGTGCCCAGTGGGGATGCTGGGGAGGGGGCTGGTACCTTTAGGATGCTGGGGGAGCCCTGACGTCCCAGTGTGCCCAGGATGAGTCCCCAGCAGCGGGCATTGGTGGCAGTGTGGATGGCGTCCTGCCGGGCGCGGTGCATGCGCTCGTGGCTGTAGTGCTCCTGTGAGAACACTTTGCTGTAGGGATCGTACCTGCAAAGCACAGCCAGGCTCACATGTGCTCCATCACCTGCCCTCCTCCCAGTGATGCCCATCCCTAATTAGCACTAATTGCATCCCGCAGCATCTGTCCTCCTGGCTGATGTAGGACCCAGCCGACTCATTAGGGGACAAGGACAGGGATAGGGACAAGTGTCCCACCACAACACCCCAAAACCCAGCACAGCCTCGGCTCATGTTCGGCTTCACATTCAGCTCCCCCCCACCCTGGCTCATCAATTATGAAGAATTCTTTGATTTGTTGCTTTGTTTGACGAGGAGAATTTTAATCAAATCCCACTCGGGTTTCGGCAGCTTCACCAGCGCCATAAACCTGACGTGCGCCTCCCGTTCGTAACAAACGACCTACTAGGAAATTCAGATTCCGCCAAATGGGCCCAGCCTTTCACTCCTGATATTTCATCTGCTTTCAGCGGCCTCATCATCGCGCTTTATGGCCTCTGCCTGCAGCAGCCGGGCTTTAATGGCTGCACCTCCACGAGCTTCCACAGGTACTTGTCAAAATGTTTATATTCAGACAGTGTAAATGGCTGGTGTTCATCTCCCCCAGAGCACCTCCTCACCCACCCCGTGGCCTCTCACCTGCCCGTGGCTGCTGCTGGCAGCTGCCTGCCCAGCCCATGGGGTGCACATGGGGACAGATGGGGTGCTCCCCACCATGGGATTGGAGTGGATGCCTGTACCTGTATGCAGGTATCCCTGGGTTGGCAATCATGATGGACTCCATGTGGAAGCGCCCATCGCCCAAATACCTGCAGAGAGGGGAGGAGAGCTATGGCACTGGGAAACAACAGCCCCTCATCCACGTGTCCACTGGTTTCCTAAACTGCAGCACGGTGGAGGTGCAAGGAATCCAAGCTCCTGTGCTGGGACCCAGGGGCAGCAGGCACAGCCAGGGCTCCCTGGCATGGCAGGGTTGGAGAGGCAGCCATGCTCAGAGCAAGGAGGGGTGCTCACACCAGCACGGGGTGGCTGGGAGCTGCTCCATCTCAATGGCTGGTTCTAGACGTTGCTGCTTCCATTTCTAATCGGATTTCCAGTCAGCAATTACATTTCAAAGCCTTTCATTCAGCTGCCCTAATGGAGTGAGGGCTTGGAAAATGAATTCAGACGTAAAACTTGACTAGATTTTGCCCTTAATTGGAGAATGACATTTTGGGAGATCAAAGCTAATTTGTCTGCAGAAGTTAGCCCCAGAGACGGTGCAAAGAAGAAAATAATAACGCAGGGAGGACGCAGGTAAGGCCGAGTGCACCTGCGCGGGTTGGTACTGCACTGCCACTCCTCTGCCAGCTGAAAGGACCCACTCTCACCAATGCAGTGCCAGCCTGGCTGCCCTTGCCTGCCCCTGATGTCCTTGGGAGAGATGGAAAGTGCCTCAGGATGAATCCAGAGCTCCCACTGACCCTGTGCCCAGCAGCCTGGAGCCCAGCTCCCTGCACGGCTGTGCTTGCAAAGGCACCGGTGCTGTTGGCTCACAGCAGCATGGGCAAGGAGCTCAGCAGAACCCAAACCCACCCCTGGGCTCCCCGGCTCCCCCCAAGGGTGGGGTCCTTGTATTTATTTATTCTGCAGCACACTGTATTCACAGTACATTAAGCATTTCCATTACCTAAAATAATTAGGTGATAGGAAGCGAAGTGCTCCCTCTAATTTGCTGTCCTTAAATAAAATTAATGTTGCTGTGATGTTGGGCCCCGGCCATTTGTCTTTTCCAATTATCCACCCGCCCTTCCATCTATTATCTATTCTGATATACGACTCAATTATTTCCTCTGTGCTACAAGCACACGCCACTTAAAGCAGCGTGAGGAGCTGAAGGGGGCCCATCCCATCCTGTGGATGCCCCTCACCCCCCAACAAAATTGCACAAAACTAGGCAGGGGGTGCAGGAAGGATGGCAAGCCTGGGCCAGGCAGGAGGGTGCTGAAGGACCCCGGGTACTTACACAATGGCATCTGTGTCCTGAGCAAGCCGGGGTGACGTGCAGCCCAGGATCTCTCCTGGGGACAGTGGCTTACACTGGGGCACACACACCTTGTACTGGGAGCGCAGCTCCTGTGACACTGCCTGTGGGAGACATGGGGTCAGCAGGGGCAGGCCATAGCACAAAGGGTGGCTGAGGACCTCTGGGGACACCCCAGCCCTGGCAGACCCAGCTGTTGTGACCCAGCCCGCTCGGGGTGGCACTAGGAACAACCCCCCGCGCAGCCGGGATGCTCAGCGAGGCTCAACCGTCGTATCAATTAAAAGACAAGAGAGAAGGCTTAACGCTTGGATAGCCCCGTGTTTTGATAGACACGGCTCAAGAGGCTCATTCATCTCCTCCCGTCCTGCCCAGCCGGCCGTTCAGGGGCAGACAGACAGACCCGCCAGAGCTTCCCCGGCCGCTGCCGGCACTGCATCAAAATGCCAAGTGCTCCACCGCCTGCCCTGACATTTCCAGAGCAGCTCCCGGGGGAGCTGGGGAGGGGTGCCGCCATGAAACATTGATCAGAGTTATTATAAAGTACTTGATCAACATTATGGCAGCAGCACGTTATTGCAGCGACTCGTCAGAGGGGAACCAGCTCCACCAGCACCCCGGGGCAGCTGCTCCTACTGCGGGACGGGGAAGGGCTGAGCCAGAGGAAAACTCAGGCTCAGACAAAAGCCAGGGATTTCCACCTCACCTGCACCGTGGAGACGAACTGGATGGTGCTGACCAGGGCCAGGGAGGTGCCCGGTGTGAAGTTGAAGCGAATAGTCTCAAGAAAATGGGAAGCATCGATCTTTATGTCCACGAACACATAGAGCATCTTCAGCCCCTGTGTGGAGTCGATGGGAACTGGTGACAGGAAGAGACAGGGTCTGAGTGTGGGGTACACCCAGGGTTCCAGCGAGCCCCAGGCTGTTGCTGCCTGCAGCTGGGGGATAAAGCATGTTGGTGGGGCTCCCTGTGCCCCAAACCGCCGTGGCATAGGCAGGGTGAGCTGTGCCACCCCTCTGCCTGTGCTGGCACACAGGGCAGGGGATGCAGATGGGAGCCACAGAGAGCACCCGCTTGTTTCTCTCCAGATAATGGCAGCCTGGGGAATCAATGAACACAAATCTAATTACCCCTGGTGCTAAGAAGCCTTTGTCACCACGATTAAGTGAATAATTAAAGTACACAGAGTCCACATCGATCCACAGCTCCTCGTTCACTTCCCATTTTGGTGCTCTTTGCCTGATCACAATTAAGTGCAAATTACTCCCTCCTGCGGGGCACGTGGGGCTGGGAGGGAACAGGAAACATCCATGTACCTCACCATTGGCCACCCTGGTGACAGGACCACTGTGGGCAGCTCAAAAGGAGCCCAGCATCCTCACAGCAGCCCGTGGGCAACCCAGGGTGCCCTGTGACCCACCCAACTCTGCCCTGTGACCCACCCAACCCAGAGCAGGCAAGGGTGACAAGGCCACCGGCAGCAGATGGTAGCCGGGCTGGTGACAGTCAGCCTGGCAGTGCCTGCCTGTCCCTGCAGGGAGCAGCTCCAGCTGATGTGAGTCCCATTCCCTGGAGCAGCCTGATAGATAAAGCCCCTTCCTCCCCTTCCTGCTGTTCATTCATGAGCAGCAGGCTACAAACCAGGAGTTTTATACTCTCTGTTCCAGGGTGCCCATAACCCTCCTTCCGTAACAAAGCACCTAGCACACATATTTATCACCACGAACCTCACACTGACATGGCTTTCAGGACAGAGTTCTCAACTGGGGAGTCAGTATTTCATACAGAGCCTGATGCAATTCTTCAAACCTGTTTATAGGGCCCCATAAACGTCCAGGAGGACTGCCAGGTGCTGGGAGCGTGGCAGCAGCAGGGATGCACACACCTCCTATCCGCTATGGCAATTCTGCAGATCCACCTTAAAACCCAGAGCGTCTTATTGTTATTTTTGGGCTGATTCCATCCTGGGTGGACTTCAAAGTTAGCAGCATCTGGGACAGCAGCGCAGTTTCCATAGCAACGGGATCCAGAGTACTGTCCGCCTGGGGAGCACACAGCCTCCTCCTCCTCCCTTCCCCGCCCAGCCTGCACTGTACCGGCAAAGCTGCCTTTCCTGGCCCCGGGGCGAGCGGGACCCCCAGGCCCTCACTCTCCTCTGCCATCATTCCCTTCCTCATCACTCCAGAGACGCCAGATGGGGGCAAGAGCAGCCTCATCCTCACTGGCAGCTCCTGGGCCAGCAGGGTCCTGCCAAGCCATGGCCTTGCTGCTCTGCTCTTGGGGACAAGGCTGGATCCGTGCACTGCTGCAGCAGCCGAGCAGGATGAGCACGCCCTGCTGCACCCAAAATCCTGCCTATGAGCAACCACCCAGCCAGCCTGGCCCCAGCCAAAGCCAGCAGAAAGCCCTTTGGGAAGGGATTAGCCTTTGGCACTAAGTCACCGAGCTGGCGTTGAGAGGGGCGTGGAGTTGCTTGGCGTGGCACGGTGGCAGCGGCATAGCCTCCACAGTGCCACACACGGCCACCCCAGCAGCACCCCGGGACTCAGTGTCACCTACTTAGGCAGCTGTGTCCATAGTGCACCAGGAAGTCAGCGCCCAGGGCCCGGGCCGTGTAGTCGTCCACGCAGCAGGCGCCGTAGGTCACGTCACCCATCACCACTGCCTCTGCATCCGTGAATCTGTGGGAAGGCACAGCACTGAGGGTCACGGCTGTGTCACCACAGCCCAGGTTCTGCCCTCCAGCCCCCTGGCATGTCACTATGGGGGGACCCCGCGCTGCCACTGAGCCACACGCCGAAGAGGACAAGCACTGGCTACTCTCCGAGATGTCAACATGATTAAGCTGGAGAGCGGTAATCCGCCTCTTCAATTGGGTAAAGCTGTTTGCAATTCAGCGGATTATCCACTCATCAAACAATACGCTGCCAGATTCCTAATGCTCCAGCAGGGAGAGCAGCAGAGGGAGACCCGGCACAGCGTGGTGCCACTGCTTCCACCAGGCAGCCCTGGGGACTGGAGACACCAGGATGGGCAGAACAGCTGTCCTGGCTTCCCTTGTGGTGCAAGCCAAGCCACCATCACCCCATGCGTGGGCACTGTGTGAGCCAGTGAATCCAATCTGCACCTGGCTGTGTCACCTCTGGATGCCAGTTCGGCCAAGCTGGGTGACCTCTAGAAGAGCTGGTGTTTAAATGGCACTTGGTGAGGGGAAGCATCAAACCACCACTGGTGCTGTCCCCTACCCCCACTGCTCCAGTCCAAACCCACCCGGCACCTGCCAGCCTGTGGGTGAAGGGGCACACACCAGCACCGAGCAGCAAAGCCAGGGCTCTGGCATGATTCAGAATACCCACCACCTTTGTGGGTATTTATTGCACCATTTTGGGGGATTATTAGCTTGGCTGCCTTCCCAGGGAGCCGCCGCAGCAGGATGAGAGCAGGTATCGAGATGACAAAGCCCCGTGCCTGGAGGGGCTGCTTAAACCAGATGCTAATTCCTTATTTACTCGAGGCCTGCTGTAGTTCGGTGCCAGCGGGGTCCTCCTTGCTGCTGGCACAGGGCACCGGGGAGGGAGGGGGCCTTGGCACAGCGTCACCCCCTGCAGCACCCATGGCTGGCTGGGGGCCAGGGTCCTGCGCTCCCCCCAAGCGCCAGGCAGGGAGCATTACGTCGGCGGCAAGAATAGAAATGGTGGGCAGAGCTGGGCAGATGGCAGAAGGTGGAGAAATGGCGGAGCGTGCTGAATATTAACAGCTCTGGCCCATCCATCAGCGCCTGGGGAGGGGGACAGGGGAGCAGCAATGCTGGAGCATCCCCGAGGAGGGGGCACAGCCATCCTCGCCTCTCCAGTCCAGCCTGGGCAGCTCCCACTCCACAAGGGCTGGGGATGCAGCTGGGGAGCATCACAAAATGGGCTGGATCTTGCCAGCACCCAAATCCCGCGATTCCTCATGGCCAGCGTGGCCTGGATGGGAGGATGGCTCCTCCACTGCCCACACGGCCACGCTGTGGGGCTGGGGGCTGCCAGCGAAGGTTCGAGAAGGCTCTTCTCACCCTTCCGAGCCCCCAGCCCCCTCCTCTAATGAGAGGTGATGAGATGAACATGAATCAGACTCCACACATCTCAGCAAAAGTGGAAAATTATTCAGCTCCTTAAGATTCAGGATGGGGAGGTCTGACTCAGAGCGGCAGCCAGCGCCGCTTAATTTTTTATAGATTAAAATGTATGCAAATTGGCCCAAACCCCAGAGAAAGTCCCTGGGGGTGAAGAGCAAGAAAGTGAAATAGCAACGGTGAAAGGAGGAGGGCAGAGGTGCCCGTGGCCCTGCCTGGTGTGTGGGGCTGCAGCTGGGCAGGGAGAGATGAGGCTGAGCCCTGTGCTGGCCATGGGCAAGATTCCTCCTCTGGCTGCAGGGTGTGGAGTCACAGGTGAGCAAAGAGGCCACGGGATGGTGCCTGGTCAGGAGGGAACCCAATGGTGGTGGCAAGGCCAGGAGCCTGGTGGTGCTGCAGGAGGGGCTCCAGGATGGCACAGACCAGGATCGCCCACTCCAGCTGGGCTGGACAATCGAGCGGAGCCGTAATCATCTCCTGAGACAAATCAAAGGCAAGCACCAGAGCCTCCCCTTGATGTTTTAATCAGTTCGGTGTCGCCAGAGTCTTTCATCAAACTACAGAGGAAGGAAATGTCAATTAGCAGCCACCTGCCTCCAATGCAGGCTGGGGAGCTGCTCACCAACCAGCCCAGACCAGGACATGGGCAAGGGGCAGCCACGGCAGCGTCCTTGTCAGTGTTTTGTGTCCCTGGAAGTTGTCACAGCCACGCATGGGTCCCAGCAGCGTGCTGGCAGTGGTGACAGGGATGTCCCCACCCAGCGCTGAGACGCTCATTACAGCTGGGAGCTCATGAATATTGAACACGTGGGGAGGTTATTCATCTTTTACGTCCCGCAAACCCCGGCTCATTCTGAAAAACCGCCTGGCCTTAGCATTTTTCTCATCTCCCCCTAATTCGTTATCTGCTTCCTTAAACAGATGGCTCCCAAAACCCCATTTATAAAGTGCCATGCTCAGCACTGGCAGGATGTGCTCCAGGGTGGGCCAGCTCCCAGCCCCGATCCCAGCTGGGACCCCCAGGCCCTCCCAGCCTTCCTCCCCAGTGCAGGATAGAGGCAGCAGCAATCCAGGGACAAGTTTTGGGGCTGAAAATGCTGGGTCAGAGACACGCACACGTGAGGGCTGCATGTCTCCAAGCATGGGGTAGCCAGTCCCTGTCACCTGAGCACAGGGACTTGGCTGGAGCAGCCCTGATTTATCCCAGCCCCTCGAAAAATGAATGAGAGCATTTGCTGCTGGCAGGAGCGCAAGGTCCCTTGGCAGTGTGTGAATGATACAGTGCTGGTCCTCAAGCCATGAGGCAGAGCTGCTCTGCCTAGCAGGGACAAGTCCTCAGCCCCTGTGTGGGCCCTTGGTGGGGAGGGGATTGAGGACACTGGGCTGAGAGTGGCCAGTCCTGGCACCCTTTTGCTATGGGAGGACAGAGGCAGCACTGGGATGCCACGGTGCCTGCATGTTGTGCTGGGAACAGGGACACGGTGCAGACTGCCCCTTGCCTCACAGCCACCTGCCTCACCTGCATGTGGCCCTTCAAATAATCACCCCACAAACTCTGTCCCCACTGCCTGCCCTGTGCCCGAGCCCAGCGTGTCCCAGGACACCCATGGATGCTGCTGTCCTGGGCTGTGGGGGCTGAGCCCAGTCCAGGCCAAGAACAGTGCACTTAATTAGCAGAGAAGCCCATCACCAAGCCCTATTACCAGACTCCCAACTTCATTAGCACAGGAAGGCTGCACATAATTAAAATAATGAGTTTGCAATTTTATTGCAATTGGTGCTGGAAGTGCCCGGCTGCAGCTGGGCAATGATGGGGCCCCACACAGCTTCTGCAAGTGGGGCACGATGGGGAGAAGTGGGTGTCCCCACAGCCCCCCAGGAGGAACCATCTCCAGCTGTGTCCCCTCCCCTGAGGGGACTTCCCACTCTGTCCTCACCATAGGTGGAAGGACAAACACCACCACTCAAGGAGCATGTCCCAGGGCACCCCAGCTTTGCTGGTCCCGTAGCAGCAAATAAAACCCAAAATAAGGCAACCCAAAGGCCAGTGCAGGCTGGTTGTAAAGCCACCATGATCATCCTGTGTCTGGATGGTGCCTGTCCCCTCTTCACAACAGCCAGGTCTGTGGGATACAAGGAGGTGACATGGGGCACCTGGTGATGGGCACCACACCTGTGCTGGCACATCCCAGCCCTGGGAGGTGGCAAACCTATAGACCCCACACACTCCCCCTGGCCCAATCCCCCGAGGCAGCCACCACCCGAGCAGAAGGTTTTGAACATCTCCAATGAAGTGAGAACTTCATTCCTCCTAATGATGCTGTTGTGTGGTTAATGACAGTGATTAAATTCCTCTGCACAGCGTGCACCCGATGCCAGAGCCTCCAGGTTGTGCTTAAAAGGACAAGGAGAGAAGGGAAGGCAGCACTGGCCAGCAGAGCCATGGCACTGTGCTGAGACCAGATCCTGATCTGTGTTAGTGTCCCAGAGTGGCTTTTTGGGACCTCTTGGTGACGCTGCCAGCCTTCATTACAGTGCCACATTGCTCAGTGCCACATGGCAGACCTACCTGGCCAAGGGATCTGGTGCCTGCTGGCACTGGGAACCTGCTGGGCACACCAGCCACTGGCACTGGGGGCTGTGGGGCACACCGGCCATCAGGGCCCTTTTTGTCGTGGCCATAGTGGAGCACTTCAAGCTCTGCCACAGCTGTTGGGCTGTGCACACAGATGTTTAACTCTTTATTGCTCAAGCAGGACCCAGCCATCACTCCAAAAAGTCCCCATATGCTCCTGAGTCACAAGATGAGACTCGGACGGTCTATGCACTTCCAGCACCACCTGCCATGGATCTTCAAAAGCCATTGGGAGCTGGGAGGTGTTGAAAGTGGTGCCAGGGCAGCCTGTGTGGGCATTAGGACACCCCGGGCCCCCCTGCCATTGCCTATCCCTGCTACCATCCTCAGCTGATTAGCAGGAGCTTTTCACCCCAGCGTGGCACAGGAAGACAGAGGGATTAGCAGCTGCGAAGCCTGACAGCCGACTTTATTAACACGGAATCAAAAGCCCAGCTGAGAGCCCAGCTGATCCGTCTGCTCCAGCCCCTGCAGAGAGGGGAGCAGGGGTCCGCTGCTGGCTGCACAGCCCCCAGCTGCAAGCTGCTGGCACAGGGGGACACGACTGCCACCTCCCCGGCACGACAGCGGGTGGGCTGGGGGGCTGCCCCTCCCTGAGCTGTGGTCCGAGCTCCCCCCACGCGGCTCTCCACGCTGCCGCCCCCCAGCACGAGCTCCCCTCTGCCGAATTACATCAGCCGTGACAAATGGAGCCAATTTGGAAGGTGCCGCGGGAGCGTCGTGATGCGGCGCCGGCAGCGCGCAGACCCCGGCCCTCCCTCCCTCCCCCCCCCCCCCCCCCCCCCCCCCCCGCCCCCCCCCCCCCCCCCCCCCCCCCCCCCCGCAGCCGGGCCGCTCGCCCCGGCACAGCTTTGACAATGACAAACCTATTAACGGTAATTAACTGGCCTCACACCGGTCAATGCTCCGAGTGTGCTCTCGATTTCAAAGGCTCCAGGCTAAGAACCCCACCGGCCTTTCCGGCGGCGGCAGCGGCTGTGATGCTTTGGCTACATCTTCATCCCCGCAGCCCCTCGGGGCTCGGCAAGCGCCAGTGCAGTGCTGGGAAGCTCAGACAGGCCCCACCTGGCCGCCCCCTCCCCTCCTTGCTCCAAGGAGCTCCCCGGGGGCCTGCTCACTCCCACATGGCAGTGAGGGACGTGGTGACACTGCCATCCCACTGCACGGGGACAGACAGACGCACAGCGAGCAAGCTGCCTGTGATGCGGAGGAGTGAGCCACATCCCCGCTCTTGGCTCTCCTCAGCACCACCAGGCCATGGCACAAATATTCTATTAAAAGGCAGCTCCAGCAGAAGGGATAAATATTCCGTCTGAGTGGCAGCTGACATGGCTCCAGTTCACAAGGGTGGGCACTGTCACCCCAGGGGCACCAGCCCCGGGCATGGCTCTGCAGCAGCAGCAGAGAATGCAGGGGAGGGGGAACTCACTCCCCAAACTCCCCAGGAAGGACAGGGCAGGAGGCTGTGGGGATGGGCTGGGGAAAGGGGCTGCTCAGAGCGATGCCCCCCTTGGGCACTCAGGTATTCCTGTCACGCTCAGCCCTCACATTCTCTCTGTCAACAGGAGGAAAGGGACACCAGCCCAGGGCTAATGGTAGCCCAAGCCCCTGTCCCCAGCTTGGCCACAGCAGCCAGAGCACACAGCTGCAGCGATTCCTGTCACGTCAGAGGCTCATCCGGCCCCAGCACTGGGTGAGGAGGGCCAGCAGGAGCGGGCGGCCGAGCTGCGATTCCACATTAATGCTGGCGATGAATATTAATAGCAGGAAGAGGCAGGAACTAACGAGGCCACCTGCAGATTCACACCTCACCTCCAGCACTGTAACCGAGTCCCCAGTGTCCCCCCGAGAGAGCAGACCCAGGGCTGGGTTCACTCCTGCCCACAGCCACAATCCTCTGTCTGGCAGTGCTGCTACCCAGCACACTCACATCCTCAGCCAGGGTCACGGATGGCACCCAGTGCTCCCAGTAAGAGGGTGGCAATGGGGTGTCTCTGGGTGCTGCATGGTGGCAGTGAGGGAAAGATACGGCTCTCCTACTCAGCCTTGAAGCCATCCCACATCCAAACACCATCCCCTCTCTTGGCTGGGCACCTCTACTCATGCAGCACCCACCTCCCACCAGCACCCCTCACCAGCCCTGTGGAGCACCCCCAGCAAAGAGGGCGAGTCCAGCAAGGATACCAGCACCCCAGAATCCACCAACACCCTGGCATTCAGCACCCTGGAATCCACCATCCACCGGGAAGTGGAGCTTAAGGTTTCATTCAGATAAAAGAGCCCCTTAATCCACTGCCTTTGAAGTCGGAGACATGAAAGCGGCTGGGTGCCAAAGCCGGAGAGGAGGCAGCTCCACTTAAAGGGACAAACCCACGCAGAGCTGCCCACACTCGCACCCACCCCCTGCCCCCCGTGGCCGTCCCCTGCCCACGCCCACCTTCCCAACGAGTGTGGGGCTGCTGTGATTCCCCGGGGGAGATGATGGCAGAGCGGGGACAAAGCCCGCGGGCACGGCTGCCTTCCCACCCAGCACAGCAACAGCGGGGAGGTGAGGCTGCTGGCCTCGGCAAGGCAGCTGCTAATGAGTGCCACGACCCCGATGGCAGACGAGGCACCAAATGCTATTAGCACTAATTCATTGTGCTAAAACAGAGAGGGGCTGCGAAGAGGGCTGTGGTGGGTGGGGAGGAAGGCAGACGCGCTCGGCAGGAAAGAGATCAGGCCAATTTCTGCAAGGTGCCTGCATCCACTGTCACTGCACAGCCCAGCTCCTCTCCAGTGCCTCAGCCTCGCCTCTCAGGCAGCACAAAAAAATCAAGAGAGGAGCCATGGCGAAAGGGTCACCCAGCAGGAGTGACCCTTTCCGTGGCCTTAAGCCTCCCCAGCCGCAGCAAGGCTGCCCCTGCGCATCTCCGTGCTGGGCAGCAAGGCTGCAGAGGCAGGACGAGGCCATGGGGGAGGAGGATGGGTCTGTGCCGCAGCGATGGCCCTGCTGCTGGCTGTCCCCTGGCTGCGCTGCCGTGGCGAGCGCGGGCACCGGGCTGGCGGCAGCCGGTTGTTAACACGGCTGCTCCCCGACTCCAGCACCCCCACGGGGGCCCCGGCATGCTGAGCCTGTCAGCAGCTCCCGGCACAGCAGAGAGGGGAGGAGAAGGCAAGCAGCGAGAGCTGGGCTTGCACTGTGCTGGTCCCTGTCCTCAGGTCCGCGTGAATTGCCGCAGGGCTGCCCAGCTGTGCCCAGCCAGGTTGCAGCCCCACGAAGGCAGCCACAGCACCTCCTCATCCATAGCCCTGGGCCTCACCCTGCCCAGTGGCCAACTCATCCCCAGCAATAGCCCCTATGCCCTTGCCGGCCCCAGAGTCCCACAGGGAATCAGGGAAAAGCCGTGGTCTTACCGCTCAATGATGTCAGCGATGGTGCAGGCAAACATGAGGAGCCCTTCTGGCATCTGCAGGGCCACTAGGAAGAGAAACAGCCACGGGGTTAGGAGGGGCTGGAAAGGACATCCTGAAGTGGGGACAAGCTCAAGGTGCAGCCACAAACCACCCTCCCCAAACCAGCCAGGTGTTGGCCAAAAATCTGGGTGGCTCTGGCAGCTGGGGTGCAGACTGTCCTGCTTGGGCTGTATCCACTCTCCCTGTGCTCACACCTCATCCCTCTCTGAACCCGCTGACACTGCTGGTCTCTCCTGCTTCCCACAGTAATGACTTCCAGATTTTAATTATATGCTGCACAGCAAAAAGTACTTTCTTCTGTTTATTTTAAACCTGCTCCTAATAATGTAAACTCGTGCCCCTGGTTCTTACTGGTACAAGAAAGTGAATAATCATCCCCTGTTCAGCCTCTCCACATCATTCACAATTCTACATCCCTATCATATCCCCCTTCATTCACCTCTTTTCCAGCTAAAGGACCTAAATCTATTTAATCTCTCCTTATACAGAAGCTGCTCCAAACCTTTGATCGTCTTCACCGCCCTGCTCCACACCCCCCATCCCAGCTTCTCTCTGCATTTCAGGAGGGTGGCCAGCAACAGCCGCAGCATTGTGCCTTGCAGGAATTTATTCAACAACAAATTATGTTTCCTCATCTGCTCCCTCCTCACAGCTCAGAACAATCCCTCTTCCTCCAAAGGCCAGCAGACTGCCCAGTGCCTGGGGTCCAGCCAGGAGCCCCCCACGGGGTGGTGGGGAGGAGCAGGGACCATGATGGAAGAGGTGAATGGAGGAGGCCCCATTAATCCTGTTGTTGTTTCACCTCCCAATCCCACTAAGATATCGCAGCTTCCATGCTATCTATCCAAACACTCTCTCCAGATTCCCCTCCAACAAAATCCCCGTGCTGCCAGGCCCAGCCCGCTGGCCAGTGTGGAGCTGTGTAAAGGCCTGGCTCAAATTTGTTTGATCCTACCCTGTTCCAACCCGCAGGGCCCAAGGAAATCTACACGTGCTCTGCCAGCCCCTGCCTGACCTGGCAGAGACGAGGGGACGAGGGTTCCATGCCCCAGCATCCCCCAGCCCATTTGAGACCATTCTGGCCCATCTGGGGCTGCTCTCCACCCCAGATCTGCAAACAGGGGGTTGGCAGGAGGCAGCTGGGTTCCTCTCCACCATCACAGCACAATGGGGAACAGGGGTGCTCCCCGACCCCCTCCCCAAACCCCACAGCAGGCAGGGCACAGGCAGGGCTGGCTGCAGCCCTGTGGGAGGCTGCGTTCCCCCAGCAACGAGCCCCTGGCTGGTCTCTGCACACGCGGATTTTTAAATCCCAGCACGGCTGGCTGGCTGATGGGCTCCGCTCCCAGCTCGGAAGCCTAAATCCCAGCCGCATATTTACATTTAATTAGGAGGTGCCAAGCAGCAAAACACAGCAAGGAAAGCCAGAGCAGCATGGCAGGGCAGCCTTGCTGTGTCCTGATGGGACACGTCCAGCCCCGACTGCCACACCACAGCCGGAATGGGCCGGACAGCCCCGCACCCTCCGGCCCTTCAGCATCGCAGCCGGGAGCAGCTCAGCTTCCAGAACATCCCCCGTGACGCCTGCCAGCCCTGCCAGCTCGGTGGCAGCAGGCAGAGACATTCCCAGGTGGATACAGAGCATTTCAAATCTGGTTCTGCCACACAGCCCCATGAGCAGCCCCTGTCTGCACGTGAAGTCAGGGTGGGAACACTGGTGACAACCGGGGATGGAGGGGGAGGCTCCATGCCCTGCTCCCCAGAGTTGATCACATATTGCTCAGTGGGATGCACAGGCTGTGCAGGGAAAGCCCTGGCACCACTCCTGAAGCCTCCACACTCATTCCCAGCTCCTCTGGGGCTACACAACTCTCTGAGGAAGGTTCAGACCAGACAGCAGCACAGCTCAGCTCCCTGCCAACCCCTCCCGGTGCCCAGTGTTGTGGGGCTCCCCCTTCCCGGCCCCAGCAGCGTGTCAGGAAAGTGCAGGGAGAGAGGAGAGGCAAGAGGAGCACAGCAGGGACCTGGCCAGCATCCCAGACACATCTCCAGGCTGACAGGTCCGCGCAGCTCAACCTGTGCTGTCCAATGTGATTATAATCCAGAGATACAGATCTATTAACCCCCCTCGAGAGGAGAAGAGCTCGCCAAGACAGAGCCTAAACACACCGGGGGCACAGCAGCAGCTCGGCCCCACCCCTCACCTGCCTCCCACCGGGGGCTCAGCAGCACAAACCAGCCCCAAAATCGCTCATCCCCCAGGGCAGCCCCAAAACCGCTCACCCTTCCTGGCCTGAGCCTGCCGGATGCGCCAGATGGTCTTGGGGATCTCGAAGTTGTAGTTGGGGGGCAGAGCCTCCGCCGCCTCCCGCAGCTCCGGGTTCCCGAGGATCTCCTCGGGGATCTGCTGGGCCACGTGCCGCGCTCGGGCTATGGGACAAACGGGGGGACCCGAAGGAGCCGTCAGAGCGCAGCGCACCCCGCTCGCCATGGGCCAGCAGCAGCCTTGCTGTCCTCATGCCAGTCAAGCGGGAAGAAGGGTCGCTGTGCTCAAACTCCTTGGGACAAGCAGGGAAAAAAGGGGTGGCGTCCTGCCCTTCGCCTGGGGACAGATTGCTAGCGCTTTTTGGGGGAACAAGAAGGCTTTTTTTAGCCCAGAAAGCACCGCAGTATGTGAAACTCTGTGAGTGCATCTGGCTGTCCCCACACCGAGGGGACAGCAAGCACAACCCCTCAGCGCTCATCGGCCATCACCCCGGCGACACCCTAATGCATCCCTGTTTCCCCAACAAGGGGATCCCGTTATCCCACCGGGAAAAAGCCACCCAGCGCCGGGTGATCCATCCCCGGGAGCCTCATCCTGAAAACGCCCCCCCGACAGCAGCCGCCCCCCTACATCTCGGCGATGGCAGAGTGCAGCGGGGGAGTGACAGCAGGGGGATTATTCACTATTTCCAGCCCAACACCGGCACTCACGAGCCACCAAACCCTCCCCGCACGGCCCACGGGACAACCGACAAAGGGCCAGCTGGGCCGGGCCGGCGGCGGGGGTGGCCGGGACGGTGGCGGAGCCACCTCCCGCCACCGGCCCGGCCTCCCGCGTTGAGGCAACCAACACAGCGCGCGGTAGCAGCACCGGGAGCCCCGCGCGGAGCCGGTCCCAGCCCACCTTTGGCGGGCACCGGGGCAGCGCTCCCGACCCGCACGGGGGCCGCCATGGCTGTGGCGCACGTGGGGGCGGGAAGGCAGCACTAAGCGATCCCCGCGCAAGGCCGGAGCAGTCGCCGGCCGAGAGATCGAGCTTGGGAGCGCACCGGCGGGCCCCGACGGGAGGGGCGGTGCGGTGGGGACCGAGCGCTCTCGCCACGGTCCAGGCGGGACACTGGGAGTGCAGTGGGATGTGAGAAGCGCTGCGATAGTGGGGCTGTGCGCCCTTCACGTCGGGGACGCGGTCCCGCCGCATCCCTCGCGGTGCTGACAGCGCCAGGGTTAGCGGTCCTAATGTTAACACACGGACGGGGCGGGAGCACCGGGGACGTTGTCATGGTGAGGGGTCCGTGTGTGTCGTGGGGTAGAAGCTACGTCCCTGCGAAGCATGGGACAAGAAGGAACCGAGGGTAATGGGGACCCCCTGGAGGCAACGGAAATCCTGACGGTGCAATAAGGACAGCTGTGCTCCCGGTAGAATAACGGGACCCTCTTGAGGCAGTGGGGACAGCAGTGTTCCCTTTGGGATAATGGGACCCGCGGTGGGACAGAGGGACCCTCGAGAGGCAGGAGGGACAGTCCAGGATCAGCAGGGGCCTCCAGGGGACGATAGAAGACCGAGGAGGCAGCGGGGATCCCCCGAGGAAAGCGGGAATCCCGGCGGGGCAGCGGGGACAGCTGCGTTCCCGGTAGGATAACGGGACACCCCGTGGTGCACAGGGGAGGAGGCACGAGGGACCCTCTGGAGGCAGCAGGGACTGTCTGGGGACAGTCGGGACAGCCCGGGGGCAGTGAGGTGTCGGGATGACGGCGGAGAGTGCGGGGACAGCAGGAATCGGGAAACAAAGGGAACAGCAGCGACTGGGAGGCAGACGGGACAGCAGATCCCCCGCTGGGGTATCCGTGACAGCAGGGACCTGGTGGGACGCAGGGGACGAGAAGGGGCGGAGAGCATCATAGGGACCGTGCCGAGGCAGCAGGGACAGCGGGGACAGCGCGGACAGCAGAGACCCAGATCGGACGGCGGCATCTCAGCAGGACACGGCGGGTAGACGGGACGATAAGGGGCCGAGCGGACGGCGGGTCCCCGGGGAGCGGCAGGGATGGTGCTGGGCAGGCGGGACAGCGGGGACAGCCGTGAGCACGGCAGGCGCGGGGCGGCGCGGCGGAGCCTCGGTGTGATAGAGGGGCACCGTGTGGACGACGACGGCAGAGGCGACAACGATGTGCCGGGGGTGACAGTCGGTGCCGGGGGGACCGCAGAGCCCCGGGGGGGCGGCGCTGGGCCGTACCCCCCGGTGGGGCGGAGGGAGGGCGGCGGCGCGGGGAACGGGAGCAGCGGCACTTTCACGAACTGTCCACGGGAGGCGGGAGAGGCGGCGGCGGCGGTGGAAGGGGGGGCCCGGGGGGGGCTCGCCCAGCCCAGCCCAGCCCAGCCCAGCCCGGCCCAGCCCTGCCCGCCCCGTCGCTGCCCCGCCCCGCCCTGCCCAGCCCTGCCCGCCGCTGCAGGCAGCGCGGCACCGGCACCGGGCACCCCTTTATAGGCTCTACCCGAGGGGGTGGGGGGCGGCGGCGGCCCCAGCCCCGAGGGGGCGGCTCCCCCCCTAAAAGCCGGCGGCGGGACGCGCGGCGGGCAGAGGCGCGGCCGGCGCTCCCCGGTGCTCCGGGGCCGGCGCTCCCCGGTGCCGCTGCGGCTCGGCCCGCCATGCCCCCGCGGGGGCCGCTCGCCCGGGCTCCGGCTCCTCGTTCCCGGTACAGCAGCAGCCGCCGCCGCCGCTACCGCTCGCCGCCGCCGCGCCCGAGGCTCTGAGCGCCGCCGCCGCCGCCGCCGGGAGACCGCGCCCGCCCCGGCTCCAAGATGCTCCGCCAAGGTGAGCACCGCACCGGGAGGGCACCGGGTGCCGCGGGCACCGGAGGCAGCGGGGCCGGCCCCGAAGTTTGTCTCCCCGCCGAAGTTGGGGCCGCGCCGCCGGGCGCCCCCCGCCGCCACCGCGTTACCGGCGCCGCCACCGAGGCTCGGGCACCCCCCGGGGAGCGGCACCGGCTGGAGCGCAGCGCGGCGGGGAGGCGGGAGACCGGGAGGAGCGAAGGGAGGCAGGGCAGTCTCTGGGTCCCGCAGGACCGGGGACGCGGCGGGTCCCCCGGGCACCGGGGTACCGCGGGTCCCGGAGGCAGCAGGGCTGCGGCGGGCGCGGGGGGGTCGGTGCTCGTCCGTCAGGGCGAGGGAACGGGAAACGGGGCTCACCGGGGAGCGCGGGGGGTTCGGCGAGGAAGTTGGGGCGAGCCGTCCCGTTCGGCCCCCCCCGAGGAGAATCGCTCCGCTGTGACATCACGCGATTTCCATGGCAACCGCCTGGGACATCATCGAGGAGCTTTGTGACATCACAGCGAGGGGAGCAGCCGGCCCTCCCGGGGGGTCCGGGACGGTGGGGGGTGTTGGACAGGACCCCCGGCCCCGCTGCACTGGAGCCAGTCTCGGGGAGATGCTGAGGACAGTGGTGCCGTGTGAGGGGACCCCGACTGGACCCCCACTGCTGTCCCGTGCCCCAGGGAGGGGGCGGCCACACAGCCCCAGGCCCCAGCCTTTGCCACCGCCAGTACATGCCCCTCTCCGACGAGGCTCGGGCCGTGAGGAAGGTGCCAACGCTGTGCATGCAGCCCTTGGCATTGGGGTGCGGACCCCAGGCAGGGCAGAGCCCCTGCTGCCACCCCAGAGATGCTTTTTCCCACTGGGGGAAATGTCACCTTGCGGCTGTGGGGCCTCGCACTCGGATGCTCCTTTCTCTGGCTTGCGCCTCAGCTTTGTTTGGTGTATTAACCCAACCCGGCTGGATGACTTGAGAATAAACCCAAGCCTTTGGAGCAGTCCTGGTTTCAAGCCTCGATTCCCAGCCCTGGTGCTGCCAGCTGGAGGAAAAGCATCATCCAGGCTGGGAAACTGGGAGCCTGAGGTGGAGGCAGGCAGCGAGGCTGCCGACAGGGTTGGATCCCACCAGGGGTAGCCTGTTAAGGTCAAGATCTACAGCTTTCATTTGTGGAGCTAGAAAAACAAAATGCAAATTGAAGAGCCTGTGGGCTAAAGCAAAACCTATTCTTAAAGTTTTTGTCTTGTTAAGCAAGGAAATAGAGTGCCAAATAGGCTTTGTTAAGTGGCAGTCTAATTAATAATTTAAAATCTTGTAGCTGTCTTTCATTAGAATTTATCTGTACATCAACCACAAAATCAGTCAAACACACTCATTTATAAGTTAATACCATTCCTGAATAATTCAACAGGCAGTTAGAGGAGGCCTCCATCCTGACGACAGGTTCTCCCCTCCCTGCCTCACCGTGCCCAGGTGTCCCTGGGCAGGGGGCCCCCGATCTCAGCCTTAGCCCCAAGTGGGGTGCAGAGGGGACACCCCACATATGAGGCAAGGGGACAAGGGCACAGCTGCAGTGTTTGGCTGGGCTGGGGCCAAGCCCCTCTGCGGGGCTCTGAGGTTTTGTCAAGGATGATGGCAACGCAAGGCTGTGCTGGTGGGTGGCAGCACGGGCTGATGGTGGCACTGCCACCACCTTCCACGTCCCACTGCCGGGAGCAGGCTTGAGGCTGGGGCCATGGCAGGGCTTGAGGCAGCAGGAGCTGTGCCGTGGTTGACATCTCCAAGGGAGGCAGCTCTGAGCAGATGGATTCACACACGGTGCCACACGGGCAAAGTCGTTTGCAGCAGGATGGCGGCAGCGAGGCCGCGCAAGTGCTGAGATTCCTGGGGGCATTTTGGGCCTCTTGCACCCCGTGAGCTTCATCCATGGAGTCACTGGTGGGATTCAGGGTGGATTCTGTGCAGTGGGTTGCCATTGGTGGCATGGCAGTGGGTGACAGCGTGGGGTGCAGCTCCATCCCAGGTGAGGGTGTCACAGCCTTGTCAGAGGTGGCCGCAGGCAGCCGCAGGCGGGAGTGCAATACTGGCGATGCAGGAGAAGGAGATTTCCAGGTCAAGGATGACACCAAGGTCATGGGCAGCCACATCCCTGTCCCTTCCATCGCTCATCCCATCGACGGAGCGTCCAGCCTCCATCCCTCCCTGCCAGGCCAGCAGTCAGTGGGCAGGGTGCAGGCACAGGCTGGACTGCGGTTCTTGCGCCAGGGAGCCAAGAGCCCAGAAACCTTTCTGCTTATAAAAGTTTAATTTCCTAAAGAGCTGATAGGAAGCCACAAGCTCTCTGTGCCCGGTGAAGCAAGGGAGGGGGTCAGGATGCGGCCCAGGCTGTCCCTGCGGTGGTGCTGGGGGGAGCAAGGAGGGCTCAGCAGACGAGATCTGCCCAGACCTGGAGTCGGAGCCGGGATGCGAAGGAGCCGTCGCCGCTCAGTGATCTGCACTGATGGAGCCTGGCAGGTCAGAGCTGTGGCCATGCTTGGCTGGGTGTTATTCCCACCTTTTGCCTAAAATGCCACACCTGGCGCCCTGCAGTCCCATCCGTGTGCCAGAGGCTGTGGGTGACACTCCAGGTGGCCTCAAAGCACTGCCCTAAAAACATCAGTGAACCTGCTGGGGAGACGTAAAAATACGCGTTTTCACACCTATCTTTCCCTGAAGGCCCTGGCAGTGCTGGAGCCAGTGTCACAGGCCAGCAGCAGGGGCAGTGGGGCTCCATGGTTTGCAGGATGAGGCCACGAGTGGGATGTCATTGCCTTGGGGCCAGACAGGAACTTGGGCTGCTGGAAACTGCTGGAGCATTGATGGGATTTGACAGCAAGAGTGGGTAAAAATCACTCTTCAAAATCTTGTTTGAAGGCAAAAACCAGGCAGGGAAGTGTGAAAGCCTGGAGGGACGTGGTGGTGGCCAGGTGTGACCAGGGCTGTCTCCCATTGGGACGTCCCCTGCTCCTGGCAGTGCCCCTGTGGAAGTGCAGAGGTAAAGGCCCCCTTGCAAAGGATACGGCCACTTTAGCCCCACATCACTGGGGCACCACCTGTCCCACTATGCCCCACATTGGGGCACCCCTGGGTGACACTGCTGCTCATCCCCACCCCAGGGAGCTGCTCCGGTCTCCCCCGAACAGCCAAAAACTTGGGCTTTGTTTGCAAAACGCAATTCCAGGGTTCAGCCACGATCAGTAGAGACTTGGGTTATTAAGAGCAGATTATGTTTGCAGAGCACTTTGGTAGAGTGGCAGCAGCACAGGCACCCACACCCCAGCAGTGGTGGCTGTTGTTTGGGTTCCCAGCAGGTTGGGATGGGCGAGGTGTTGCCTTGGTTCAGAACCCACTGAAAGAGGCTGGAGTCTGTTTTAAGAGCAAAGGCAACAAGTGGGAGGCTGCAGGGAGAGCCATAAGGCATGGAGCAAGCAGGATCCTGTGGGAGTCAGTGAGGAGGAGCTGGGGATCCATGTGCTGGCACGGGCAGGGGTGCAGGGCACGGCCTCAGGGAGCACCACTGGGATATAGGAGCATCCGTGTCCTCTCCAGCAGGGCTGCTCTTCCCCTGCTATTTTGGGTGACGCTGCTCAAGGCCAAGGTGGAAGGAGCTGGCTCAGCCTCAGGATCCTTTGCCAGCAGCAGAGCTGGTGCTGTCCTCACTCCGGATGTCAACACCACGTCCCATCTCCCAAATCGAGGAAGCACCAATCCCACCGATCCCCCTGTACCATCCCTGCGGAACAGCATCACCATGGAAACCCACAGCCCTGCGCCTGCCGCCCGGCAATCAGAGGGGGGACACTTTTAGGAATATTATTTTTACTGATGACAAATGGTGGAGGCTCGGTGCTGACAAAGGAGATGAGCCCAGTGCTGGGCATCGCTTGTTTTCCCAATGGCCGGTGTTTCTCCTGCTTTTCCTGCTGAGGGCACGTGCTGGTGGGGCAGCCGCGGCTCTGCTCGGGTGTTAAGTGCGGGCAGGGCGAGCGGCAGATGCAGGACGGGAAGATGCGGGGGGCAATCTTCTTTGCGCAGATTAGGATTGGGGGTTATTAAGCGGAAAATGTTCCATTTGGTGTAGAAAGCTCCTTTTCCTTTTTAACAGCATATGTGCCCGCTGCCTGTTTGCTTCCCGGTGGTGTTGGCACAGCGGCTCGGAGCCGGTACGGCAGCTTGGAGCTGGCCCAGCTTTGGTGAGCAGCTTTTAGCAATGCTCCTGCCTGGGCTGGGAGAGCCGTGACCGCTCTGGTGGCTCACGGTGCCAAAAGCTGGTTCCTCTCACGGCTGTGGGGTGGGATGGCAGCGGGATTTGGCCCTGGAGAGGTGATGGCACAGCAGGTCCATGGTGGTCCAGCGCATCCAAACAGATCCAGTGTGTGGGGAGAGCGCGGTGCTGGAGCCGGAGGGTGTCAGAGGTGCTCCACGTGCTCCCTAAGTCCCGGCATCACCATCACACGGTGATGCAGCCGCTGTTTACTGGGGAGCAGCGGCGGGAGGGAATTTGGCTGCTGCTGCTCTGGCAGGGCTCCTTACGGAGCAGCCCTGCAAGCGGAGGGGAGGTGCCAGCGGCTCCGCCAGCCCCGTGTGCCGCACTTGGGAACCGCTTTCTATTTTTTTCCAGCTGCATTTGCACCAGCGTTTGCATTGGCTTGCTTGGGGAAACCCCATCCCCGTGATCACGGGACCCCCACGGTGCCACCCGAGGGGTGCAAAGCCCGTCCTTGGGCACGGAGAATGTCACGGGGAGTTTTTTGGCCCGAGGTGACCTGGGTGAGAGGTCTTGCCGACGAGACCTTCACCCAGCTGGGTATCCATGTGCATTTGGTATGTGCTTGCACCGGGCAGAGC